CTTCGATACGGTTTGGCATGAAGGCCTACTGATGAAAATGCTCACCAACCAATATCCCATATCCTTTACCAAACTCATAAAATCCTACCTACACCACCTCTGAGTGTATATTATTTCGCACGAGGTCTTGGAGCTGGTGTCGGTGTCAGTGCAAGAAAAAATGGCGGTAAATATGGACAAAGTTGTTGCTCCATTATTATCGTTTTTATCAAGTAGTAGTAGTGATGATGATGAAATGTATGTTATACCAGTTATACGCAAACAACTGCCAAAAGTGGAAGGATTCATTGAAAATGTCATCTACAAACTTAAATAAGTGATCCGTTTAGTCTACAGGAATACACAATGTAACTTCCTCGTAGTTTATTTTAAATTTCAAATTTAATTCTTGGTTCATTGTAACTACCTTCTTCGAAAAACTTCAACTGGTCAACTGTTACTTTGACTGAATAAAAATCAAAACATATACATAACCTATAATGTTAGAAATCCACGCAAAAATTTTCATTCCATTGTGATTGCACCAGAGCATATTTCTCATACAACCAGTGGAGTGGCAGTGCTGCCCGAGTGCAACCCCAGTTTTCTCCAATGGAAATCGCTACTAGAGGCAGCCATCGGTGCCGAGCAGTGCTGAGAAAGCGCGACTGGTGTGCGAGAGAGATAGCAATTTCTTTTATTGTCCTTTCTCTCTCGCACACCAATTGCGCTTACTCAGCACTGAAGGCTGCCTCTAGGAGTATATACTCGAAGATCATAACGCGTTACAATCCGAAATCTAGCAACATGATTGGTTTCCATAGGATCTTAACGTGTTATAATACCGAAATCACGAATAAAAGAAAAGAGAGGTGGATCAGTGGCGAAGATCACTTAACTGGAAAATGTGTGGAAAACTGCTTTTTCGATTCGCGCAAATTGCGGCTGTCTTCACAGTTATTTATTTATGTTTTATACACAGTTTTAAAAATAATTTTTAAAGTTATAGGTTATATTATATTAGTACCTTCTTCAGTTCGTTTTTCCATTTTAAGGTACATTTAACTAGTATGCCTAGTGTTCATGGTACTTTTGTATCTGAAAAGATAAATAAAATTCGATGGAGACCAGATCAGTTTAATAATTCCCATTTTTTCATAACCGGAAGTGTAGACAATGATGATAATAATATCAAATTATGGGATTTTTATGAAAGCCAAGAGGATGACGATATTTATCCTTTGTTAGTCTCTTCCTTCCCATACTGCGGTGATGTAACTGAAGCTAAGGTAATTATTTTGTTTTAAAACATATTCTTTCAATTTCTGATATTCTATTATCTTTGTTTTAGTTTTTAAATGCAGATTACTTTGTAAGTTCGTCAACTTCGGGTTCAGCACATTTAATGAAAATTGTTACATCTACTGAGCATGTTATTTTAGAAAATGAAATAATATGGCAAAATATCCATTTGTTTAAGAATGGTGACAATTCTCCATGCACAGCATTGGCATTATATGAAAACGACATTGCAACTGTTGGAGAAGATGGTTGTATTAATTTATTAACAGCTCAGTCTAAGCACGTTGTAAGAAAAATAGGTAGGCCTGTACATATTTACTTTCACACTGGGCTTATTGCTTATTATGTACAATTTTTTTGGTTACAGATGATGCAGACAGCTGTTCTATTCATCGTGTAATTTTTATAAAGCACAATGAAATATTAACAAGTAATTTAAGAGGTCAAATGAAAATTTGGGATCTCCGATCCAATAATAAAGTACCTAATATTACCTTTATGCTGAGTGGTGATCAAGTTACTCCTACTTGTCTAGCTTATCATCCTACGCAGAGACACTTAATAATTGCAGGAGATGATTTGGGTAACTAAGAAATTATTGCCATTGTATTATTGCCATAAAATTATTTATTATTTTAATAATTGACTGTATACAGGGTGTCCCGTTTAAGACTCCCCAGCTGGATATCTCGAAAACAGAAAAAGATAAATGATTTCTGAAAAATCCACTGTATAGTTTCAATAAATGGCTTTACTTGTGAGTACAAATCCCGTTCCTCTCAGTGCAGGTATAGATGTCGCTGCAATCCGAAAACATATTTTGTTGACAGCAGTTTTGAAAAGTGGCGCACATGAAAGATCTCAAAATTATAAGCAACTTTTGTGATATAAACAATTTTCGAAAAGCCACTAGTTTCCGAGATACTTGGATTTTGGATTTGAGATAATTTCTTTTCCAGGAGGAAGATTTTTTAAAGTTAAGTTTTTAGACATAACTACTGCAAATTTTCGTCATATTAGATTGCTTTGAATAAAACAGTGATGAATTACTTTTATTTAACTAATAGATATCACAGGAAATTACTTCATTTAATCTTGTTTACGCAAATCATAGTCTTTTCGATCAAGATAAAGTAATATTTATTTAACAAAAACTGATGCAAAATTAACAAAAATTACAAATAATATCCATAGTCAGTCCATATAATGTTATTTAAAAACTGGTCTTCTTTTGTTTTCTTGAAGTGTCAAAGTTGATTACATATTACTATTACTATAACTACAAGTCTACACCTTCAACTTTGACACATTTGACATTTATTCAGTATGGTCCAGTACACGAATGAAGAAAAGCTGAAAATAATTTTAATATTCGGTGAATGCCGTAGAAATTCCTGAGAAGCAGAAAGACTTTATCAGGTACGTTACCCAAACCGTCGACCTCCCGATCATAAAACGTTTTTGTCTTTATCGACGAATTTGCTTCATTGTGGTTCTTTTAAGAAAAAGATATTAGGTAAAGTTGAAACTAATCCACATACCTTGGTGCGAGCTATACAACAAGAAACAGGGATTTCCGGAACATCGGTCCATAATATCTTGAAGTGAAATTCGTATCATCCTTACAAAGTGCATCTTTTACATAATTTACGTTCTGGTGATATACTACGAAGACTAAATTTTATTGCAGAAATGGAAATAAAGGCTCAAAAAAAACGACCAGTTTTTAAATAACATTATATGGACTGACGAGAGTCGATTTACAGAAAATGGCATTTTGAATAGGCATAATAGCTATTTCTGGCATGACAGTAACCCTAGATGGACTAAAGACAGACATTTCCAAACCACGTTTTCTATAAATTGATGGTGTGGTATTATTAATGGCATATTAATTGGACCCTATTTATATGAGGAAAATTTGAACGGTCGCAATTATTTACAATTCCTTCAGATCCAACTAAATGTTCTTTTGGAAGTTCCTTTAGTTATGAGACAAAATATCTGATTCCAACAAGACGGGGCACCAGCTCATAACGAAAGGAGGATGCAAAATTTTCTTCATTAATATTTTTAGGGGCGATGGATAGGCACCAATGGTCCAATAAGGTGGCCTGCCCGCACCCTTGATTTAACCCTACTTGATTTTTCTTGTGGGGTTACCTAAAGAACCTAATTTACCAAACAGAAATTTACTGACTTGTGCAATAAAATTTATGCGAGCTGTGCATCTATTCCTCGAAATGTTTTATTACTGGCAACTTATACCGAACTTAGAAAAAGATATGAATTATGTATTAATGAGAATGGCGGCAATTTTTAACACTTATTGTGACTCTTGTATTATGTTAATTTAATATCGCTTATTTGTGATTTTTGTTAATTTTGCATCAGTTTTTGTTAAATAAATATTACTTTATCTTGATCGAAAAGACTATAACTTGCGTAAACAAGATTAACTGAAGTAATTTCCTGTGATATCTATTAGTTTAATAAAATTAATTCATCACTGTTTTATTCAAAGCAATCTAATACGACAAAAATCTGCAGTAGTTATGCCTGAAAACTTAACTTTAAAAAATCTTCCTCCTGAAAAAAAAATACCTCAAATCCAAGTATCTCGGAAACTAGTGGCTTTTCGAAAATTGTTTATATCACAAAAGTTGCTCATAATTTAGAGATCTTTCATGTGCGCCACTTTTCAAAACTGCTGTCAACAAAATATGTTTTCGGATTGCAGTGACATCTATACCTGCATTGAGAGGAACGAGATTTGTACTCACAAGTAAAGCCATTTATTGAAACTAAGTGCATTTTTCAGAAATCATTTATCTTTTTCCGTTTTCGAGATATCCAGCTGGGGAGTTTACGGTATACGGGACACCCTGTATACATAGCAATATTTCGTTTAGTGAATATTTTTTATTTTGCTAAAATACACAATAAACTTCTTTTATTCTTTTGTAAATTGTAAACTAAGCGGAAATGTATATATTTCAGGAGCTTTGACAACTTGGGATTTGCGACAAAATACTTATCCTGTCAATGTGTTAAATGCTCATGACGGAGTAATTTCTGAAATACAGTTTCATCCCGATCACCCAGATCAGTTATTTAGCTGTTCTACTGCAGGTGAACTTTGGCACTGGTCTACAAAAATCAAAAATATAACAATAGGCTTAGAAAACATTGATACAAATGTGTGGTTGGCCCCAGACAACGTAAAAAATAAACTGGAAGTTTTTACATTAATGCCTACATTAGGAAAGCCAATTAATACCTTAGATTTAAATAGAAATAAAGTTATATGTGGTTGTGACAATGAAGCGGTTTATTTAATTAACAATGTCACTTTATATTAGGTATTTTTTACAATTTTTATAATAAAGTATTTAAATTTCAGTGTGGTTTTTTTTGCAAAGAAATAATTACAGACAATATTATTCCGGATATACTTCTATATCTTGTTATCAGGGATGTGATTTCTAAATTATGTGCCCTGGGCAAATATGATTGGCCACCCCGGTACCTGTTAGTAATTGTAAAAAAAAAAATTTCCAGCTGAAAAATCCAAAGAGACGGCCTTTCGGCCGCCCTGCTGGAACAGGCTGCCTCGGACAATCGCCCCCTACGCCCTTAGGAAACTAAGTTCCTGATTGTTATCCAGTGAACACATGAATCAAATGAAAATATTTCAGAAAAGTTGCTTTTAATGAATTAATTTTAATTTGAAGCATTAATTTTGCGAGATATTTTCATACAGGTAGAGGACACTGCTGCTATTTTTTTTCTAAAAGTTTATCTCATATGATCCCATAAGGGATTGCAAAGTAAATTATTGTTCAGTGTAAATAAATTCTAACATACGTAGAACAGGTCTTGGGTACTATTCACAATTACATGCTATTGTTATTTATTATAATGGAATGACTAATTCATTCTTTAAATATGTTATTCCAATTTAGGTATATGATAATAAAGCAGTCAAATATTTTTAGTACAAAATGTTTAATAGACAATGTTAGAAGGGACTTTAGAAGTGTTTTTTTGGTGTTTTTATATATGACCATTTCAACAAAATTGCTTCGTTTTCGAGATGCAGGGTGTTAAAGTCACAAAAAATATATTATTATATTTTCGGTACTAACGAAGTTATTCAAGAGAAATTTACATTTTTACTGGTTGGATTGCCGTAACATGCTGCAATATAATGCCCCCTAAGTAACCATAGTTTCAATTAATTTAAAAAAGTAGTACGTAGTAAAGATCGAGGGATGTCAAACCGGGTGAGCGTCGAGGCCAACAATTGGTTTTCCTTTTCTTATCCATATTTCCGCAAAATGCCGAAAATTACTCCAGGGGTTGTTCCATCCAATCGAATCCAATCCTGTAATAAATTTAAAGGCACACGTTTTTTTTTGCTTTTTTACATTATCAATAAATAAACAGTAGATATTACTTATTAGTTTTTGAGTGTATTGTAGTGAATTTCTGTAATCAAATAATTTTCTTTGTTTAATGTTAATTTTTGCAATAAATGAAACAGTTGAAAATAGGTATAGGACATTGTACTTGAAATATGTCTAGAATTTTCAGAAGAATAAAAAAATTGAATAATATACAGTGTAGGAAACTACCGATGGTCTATCAGAAGTTACGTGAGAGCGATAAAGTAAGCCATAGAAATCCATGTGATAGACAAGGATGGCTATAATGAAGGCGTCTAATAGTCAACGCCCTTTCACAAATAAGAAGTGGATCTTATTTGTGGAAGGGCGAAACAGGCGGTGACTAAGAGACGCCTTCATTATAGCCATTCTTCTCTATCGCATGGATTTCTATGGCTTACTTTATCGCTCTCACGTAACTTCAGATAGACCATCGGTACTTTCCTACCCTGTACAGGGTGTTGCTTATAAAATAAGAAAGTTGGTATTGACCACTGTTACATGACACACCCTGTATAAAAAGTTTTTGTTGAAAAAAATGCGCAACTAAAAATACCAATCGACTTGTCCGAGAGTTTTTCGAACACGCCCCCATTTATTTATTATTGAATTTATTCCATTTGGCTGATACACACTGTATAAGTTGAAGGTTCTTATGAAGTGATTTACCTTAAAGACTGTCGGGTAAATTTTTTCCAAGCAAATTTGTTACAAAGTGACCTTTTGCAATAGCATTGGGCGGATTTTTTTTCTAAAGCATCATTTTCTAAAAATGTTTCTTTTGTAGGTTGTATTTTCTGTGATATTTCTTAAGTGCCGTTATTTTCTTTGTGTCTACGTAGCTAGTTAACATATGGGCATAGAGCTAGGGGGGCAGGGGCATGCACAGTCCATCCCAGAAAGCCCACCACAGAAAATATTATCATCTTTGTCATATCGGTAAGCCGGTGACTGCGTTACTTTTTTTTATAATAAAATCAAATCATGTTGAAATTTTATATCGGTAAGTCGCTGATGACTGCGGGAGCTTTTTTTTTTAGATGCTCCATAGAGTCCAGTTCTGGACCCAACCCAAGCAAAAATTGTAGCTACGCCCATTTTTTTTTAATTTTGTAGTGTGGCAAAATAACAAATGAAACAAGTAAATTATTTATTTTATACCTATTACCAATAACAATAATTATTTAGAGTATTTAAGAATAATTTATTTAAGCCTAGTCCAGGCCTACATACACTGCCCACAAACCAATGTTTGGAAACATTTGCTTGCAAACAAAACATTTATATACTCTTGTGTATTGTGTTTTGTTTCCAGAAACATTTGCTTAAACGAGGTAGCAATTGAGTTCAGACGAAAGACAAAAACATGTCTAGTGAAAAAAGCATGTCGGTGAATAGTGAGGCAGTGGCGGCCATTTGTACTGGATATATAATATATTCCACATTTTATATAGCCCTGTATCTATAAACACAATAAATAATGAACCACGAAATTTATTACCACTGATACAATAATTGCTTACAACACACTAAACAAACGTTTGCTTCAAAAAACGCGTACAGACTTACTTCTTGGCGAGTATAAAAACACGCGTTTCCCATTCTGACGGGAAAACAAAAAACATTTGTTTAAATGTTTTTAAACAAATGTTTGCAAACACATTTTAAACAACTTTTATACAGTTTTTATACAAATGTTTAACTGTTGGCAGTGGCGTGCACAGCTTTTTTGTAAGGGGGGGGGGGGTTACACTTTGCAGTAAGATTTTCGCGGCACGAAACTAGAGCACAGGGAAGCAGACGAAACTAAAAAGCGACGTTGCAACGTTTAGTCCGATTCAAGTACGATATTGGAAACAACAAAATATATACGGCAATAGGAAGTTTTAATAGGTATATAACTATTGTTAAAAGTTAAAGCTCATGGGGGGTGGGTTGAACCCCCACAACCCCCCCCCCCCGTGTGTACGCCACTGACTGTTGGCAAGCAAATGTATGTAGGTCTGGACTAGGCTTTAGAATACTTTATTCAAATTGTTTAAAAACGAAAAACTATTTCTACTACTGCTAATAACTGAGCTGTTGAAACGTACGAAGTCAAAATTTTCGGTATTTCTCAAATAAGTAAATCCTAAAACTATGTTTAATAATATTAAAAAGAAGAAAAATAAGTCGTAGTCGTCAAAAATCCATTTCAAGCGTCACAAATCTATATTTCATAAAATTTGGTCTTCTGAATCAAAACATCTTATTAATTTTTGATAAATAGTTGCAAGATTTTTTGGATAAACAGTTATTACTCAAAAATATTGTTTTATTTGTGCTAACTATATATTTAAAATTTTGAAAAACAAATTGTCACCAGTAGGTATATGTTTATAAATAGGTACCTATATACATTAGAATAATTTTGAGATAATTAAATTTATTTAAAACAGAGTAGCTCCAACTATTCAATTAATTAACTTTTAATTTCAGATTAGAAAAGAAGGGCAATTTGTAAGTAAATGACATTTTCCATTTTATCAATTTCGTGGAATCTGCCTGAAGTTTGAACAATAAAAACTACAAATTTAGTTTGAGGTTGCATGTTTGACTACTGTAAATTTACCAGTACTCGTAAATCCCTTTCTGGCAAGGATATGGATAGACTTTAATGTCGAGGGTTTGTCACTGCTACCATATTTACTTGACCCACAAGTTTATAAAACATTTCTGTTTAGCCAAAATAATTCTTCCAATAAAACATTATTCTATATCAATCGAATTAGATCCGTGTTTCAGTTTGCTATGTCAACATTCACTTAAATTAGAAATTGTTTTAAGCCATTTGTAGTTAATTTAAACAATTATTACAAGGAATATCTATCAGCTATATTATAAAATTTAAATGATTATTTACAAGAGATAACAACATATGATTCCATATTTTTGTTCTCTTAATTAGGTATATGTGCAAGAGGTATATTTGAAAACAATTTTTTGGAAAATAAATTATTGCGCAATACTTCTATACTAAACTTGCGCTCCCGCCATTATATGCAGCATTTACTACGGAATTATAGTTCGGTACGTTCTTTGTTTTCATTACAATCTTATCATTTATCCGACATATATATTTAAATTTATTTGTTTGGAGTTTTAACATTATAGATAAAAAACATACCACAGAAAAAATCAATCATACAATCATCTTCATATAAACATTGTACTTGAGATTTTTGTATAAATGTTTTTTATTAAATAAAAAACGCAACGAAAAATACATTTAGGACGTAGATACTACGATTTTAATTAATTCCGACAAAATTTTATAGTTTTTGGTGACAATGATCTCCTTATAGAGAAAAAAATCCAAGTAAGAGACTATCTGATATTATATTTTAATAGAGATTGACAAAGAAGTTGCTATTCTTAAATGGTTTATAATATTTTCAACAAATAAGATATCTTACACGAGAAAATTATATGCAGGTAATATTTAAGCCGTTAGTGTATTTAATTTTAATTATGATCTGCTATTTAAAATCATTGGATAAAATAATTTAAGAAATGAAAAAAATTTAGTACCGGTGGTGGTAACGGTAGCCGTTGTATTAGTGGTGGTGGTGGTGGTCCGTAGCAGTAGCAGTAGTAGAAGTAACAGCAAGAGCAGCAGCAGGGGCAGCAACAACAGCAGGACGGGGAGTAGGAGCAGCAGCAACAACTGGAAGAGCATGAGCAGGACTAGTAGCAGTAGCGAATATCAGTAGCAATAGTAGTATTCTGTTATTTGTTTTTCTAATACTGAATTTTTCCTTATGTAATAGCTGCTTAAATAAGTACCTAGAGATAATTTGTCCAGAAACATTTTGCTTTGGCTAAGTAGAAAAATGAAATTCTTCTAGAGAAGAAATTGAATATTTTTAACCTTAATCGTTTTATAAGTTCTATTT